CTAACAGCGCTGCCCCGCCAAAATTTAGAGTTAAAATTTCTATCTAAAGTATTTCAGGATCCTCACCAGTGCTACAGAGCCTGTGCACTGTGCTGAGCTTCTTCAGACTCAGACCTTAGTTAGAAGTAGAATGGAGCACTTATGGGTTACTACCCGTGTGCCATGATGTTGATCCACTGTTCAAACTTCAAACTACCTATGATTACATCACCTTTGTGTATAAATAACTTACTTCAGAAAATATTGCCATTAAGTTAAAAAAAAAAAACAGAGCGAACTGGTAAATTTTATTATGATACTGAAATGAGCATGTCAAAATCAATCAGAAATGGTGTATTTAAATTCTGACACAAATAACTTTTAAAAATGTGTTGACTCATCTTCAATCAGCAGGTTCTTCAGAGAACACATCGCTCTCTTCACGGCACGCCTGAAAGTCTCTCTTTTTCTAGCCCAATCTTCAGCCCTAGTGCTTTCATAGCCTATGCATCTTCAACATCTTGTATCCACCTTCATAAAGGTCGGCCTCTGATATAAATCAAATTTGTTGACTAGTAGTGTTATTCAACTGTCACTAGTCAGTGAGCTAGGGTGGTGACATCACATCCACATGTCTGAGAAATTAAACAACAAAAAAAGTCCAGGTCAAGAAAGGAAACATCTTACAAACTTGAAAACAAAAATACTAAAGGGCTGGCGAGGTAAAGGTGACAGGATTGACCTTATTGCACCGGGTTTTATCCCATATGACTCGGTCTCTCTCCGCAGAACAGCTAGCTGCATGCCAAAGCGTCGCACAGAGCATTACCTTTGTATCTCCAGCGATTATCCTCAGGGATCTAAGTAACAAGTGAACTGAAATGCGCTGCTGTGAAATGAAGCCATGATCTTCAGAGTGTGAGGCAAACGGCTTGACCACTTCACCACGGAGACCCCACAAAGGGCTGATGAATGACTATAAAATTTATAAAATCATGGGTAGTGATAGGTAGTGAAACAGTATTATAGTCAAGTGTAATAATGTCACAGTACAGGTGATGTAATCAATGATCGTTATAGTTCAAGTGATAAGAGTCAATGATGTGAGGTTATAGTTCAAGTGATAAAATCAGTTATACAAAGTTATAGTTTAAGAGATAGAATGCCCGGCTCTCTAGCGTAGTTGGCTAAACTTGATTGCGCGGTGACCGGGTGACGAACTTCTTGTGGTCCGGGTTCACTCCCGGGGGTATGCAGAAAAGCCACATAACTCCCAGATTTACGATATTTACAATGGAATCAAGGCCGAAAGGTTGCGATATCCATAATACCAAGCCTAAGGGTTAACAACTCATGGCTTCTGGATACTAAAACAAACAAACAAGAGATAGAATCAGTTATGAAAAATTTTAGTTCAAGTGATAGAATCAATTATGCAAAGTTACACTTCAAGTGAGCTGCAGGAGTTTCAAGGAAAGACAGAATACAAAATCATGAAATCAGACGAAGGCTAGGAATAAAGCCAGTCTTACAGGTCATCAAAGAACAACAAATGAAGTGGTTTGGACACCTAACAAGTATGCCCTGGTACTATCTGCCACAGCGAGCCACACTAAAATGTTACAACGGGTATAGAGCGAGTGGAAGATCTCGGAAAAGATGGAGTGATGGCATTAAGAACAGCCTTACAGAAAAAAAATCATCAGTCTTAATAGTGCTCTTGACAGAGCTCATCAACGAACGTTACATCTCCCACCGACACTTTGATGAGGTAAAGGGTGGAAGAGAAGAAGAAGACACTTCAAGTGACAGAATCAGTTATGCAAAGTTAACACTTCAAGTGAGAGAATCAATTATGCAAAGTTTAAGTTTTAGAATTAGTGATATTAGGTTATAGTCACAGGTTAGGTGATAGTATCACAGATAAGTGGGAGTTGCTATGGTGTAGTGACTAGACACTTATCTGTGAATCTAAAGGTCGTGGGTTTAGGTCTTGCCTGAGGCAGACTTTTCACAAAAATGACCTTGACTCACAAGATTGCAAATCGGGAGGGCTAAAACTTTAAAATGAACGAGAAAATTAGAGAGGTGAATAACTTCAAGGGAGGACATAAAGTGAGAACTTATGGTCTAAAATGGAGGACTAGGTATGGCACATATGGACGGAAGTCTATGGTTTCGCTGCTTAAGTACCTGAGTTTAGTAGTGCTTAATGTTTTCCATGGGGAATGCTTTTCATTTGTGCAGCGGTCGAGTCATGGTATTCAAAATGACCAGTAACTGATTTACATGTGGGCCGTTACCTTGTGTAATAATTCTAAATGTGCAGCCAACTTATCGCGACAGATTACTTCCATCAATGACAAACTGTATTTCTGACGGCAGCTGTTGGCTTTGGCATTTCTAGCAACCAAAATACTGGTTGGCATTCTGCCAGCCAACGTTACCACTGTGCTAAGCTAGTTACCCACTGATCCTTCCCCGTGTCCAGAATACTTTTCTATTCCCCAAACGCAAAAGATGCGTTGGCAGTGCAGGCTATATTTTGTACACTGAAACATATTCACCCTAGGGAAGTGGGTGGTTGGCCAGAGTGTTGACAGGTCATACGCACTTGGCGACACCATTATGGAAAGGAAACACTATAAACTATGTTTAATAGCCCGGCTTCACCAGGGATAGTGAAAGAATATGTCTCCTCTACTAAGTCAGTTTATCTTTGTCTCCACCACTTCTGTATATGTAGTAGAAATTCCATGGTGAAGGGAACACAAAAGTAGCCTTCTGATCGTCAGAAGGAACATCCTTTGAATGTTTCAACCGCTTTACATTCCTTGCAGTTCGATATTTCAATAAAATTTGTATTCTTCTTTTTTTCTACTTCATCTTCGTCTCCACTGCTGCCATGTGTTTAGTCATTTCTCCGAGTGCATCTGAGGCTCTTACTGTCCCCTGGCCTGTTCCACCGCCTCCCAAACTTGACCAACAACTCTACGGCCCCTCATTTCACCAGGGGGGGGGGGGGGGGGGGGGGGGGGGGGGGGGGGGAAGAACTGGTCTAGGAGAATCCTAGCACTTCACCCCAGGCCGTGACTGTGAATTACAATTTGCATAGTTGGCAATTCCCACCCCCCTCCCCCCCCCCAAAAAAAAAACAGGATCCATAAATCGACCGCTTCAATCTTTAAATGTATTAACCATGTTATAACTTTCTTTCCTTTAAAAATAAAAAAAAATTTATACTTTGGTGATCTGTTGCTGAAACTGCTAAAAGCTGTAAATTTACACTTTAAAAAAAAAGGCATGAAGGGCTTGAACGCAGGACCTTTTGACTGAAAGGCAGATGTGATACCTACACTAGTAATTCATATAAATTAACTGAAAATAGGACCAGTATTGTACACTGTGATAGACAGACACATTCGTATATGCTGTATAGTATAGAATAAAAATTAATTTTCATCATCATGTCAGTACGTGACTATATCCTATACTTGATTATTGGAGATCCATTTCAAATCCAGTCGATGTTGATGGCTGGGTCAGATGGTCAGTCTTGCTCATGGCACGCTGGCGTGCCTTGAGGATAACCCAACTTATAACACACATTTTAAAGTGATCCTCACTATTTAATCATTAAAAGAAACTCCATTAATTCTTCGTCATCTTTAATTAACCAATTTTCTTGCTATTTTCTATTTAAAAAAGTAGACTAATGCAAAACTAGAAATATATTACAGGGCAAAAAATACACAGTTCACCGACTATGCTTCTACAGTAAACAAGGCAACATGATAACGTGGAATGCGTCTAAACGCACGTGATAAAGGTTTTAACTGAATGTAAAGGGGTCAATCTGACCAGATTTGGGTGTGTATTGCCATTTCAACCCCGAGAATTATGGTCCTTAGCAATCTGTAGGAAATGTCTAAATCGTGTTTTTACGTCTTTAGCGGTGAGGACACAGAAAATGGAAGAGGCAGAATTACGTCTTGAGCAGTCTACGTGGCAGACGTAAAATTACGTCTTTAGCAGTGAAAGGGTTAAAGAAATGATGTAGCAGTGATCAGAAAAGAGATAAAAATCAGGAATCAAGTGATTAGAGAAAATGTTGGCACAGAACCAATATTAACTTACATACATGGTCAGTTACTAAAATGGTTTGCCATAGAGAGAATACTTTGTGGTCAGTAAATACAATTAGTTTTCCAGAGAGAGAATACTTTGTGGTCAGCAAATAAAATGGTTTGACATAGATAGAATACTTTGTGGTCAGTAAATAAAATGATTTGTCATAGAGATAATACTTCGAGGCCAGCAAATAAAATGGTTTGCCATAGAGAGAACAAGCTGTGGTCAGCATATAAAATGGTCTGCCATAGAAAGAATACTTTGTGTTCAGCAAGTACAATGGTTTGCCAGAAAGAATACTGTGTGTTCACAAATAAAATGGTTTGCCATAGAGGGAATACTCTGTGGTCAGCAAATAAAATGGTTTGCCATGGAGAGAATACTTTGCAATGACATACCCATACATGGCACAGACCAAAGGAGGAGGGGGTCATAAATCACAAGGCAGACAATGGTTCTCATCTTCTGAATGCCACAGCGACCCTTTAATACCATTCCTCTAGTTGTGGGGGATCCCCAACCATAAAAATTTTTTCGTTGCTACTTCATAACTTCAGTGAATATGTTTTTTTTTATGGTCTTAGGTGACCCCTGTGAAAGGGTCATTCTACCCCAAAAGGGGTCATGACCCACAGGTTGAGAACTGCTGAGGTAGACCAAGAACAAGATGGAAAGATAACATCATAGAAACTCTAACACAGTGTGATGTGTCTATGGTCGAGGTGACCAGAAGAGTAAGAGGCAGAACCTTCCATCTCCCTCGACAGCCAAAGTGGTAAAAATAGGAAGTGAAGAAGAACTGTCAAGTAATAGACTGACTGTATCTCAAATAAAAGTAGATGACCTCACCTGGTTTCCATTCATAGTTTTATCTTACTGCATCTGTCTGGTCAGGTGGGTGTTGCCTCATCCCAGGGTCCATATATGTTGCTGCAGAAAATAAATATGTGAAATTTGATAACTTTATTTACTTACTTAACAGTTGTGGCATACAATCTGATATCACTTTCTTTTTTTATAGAACAAGTGTGGTCTAAAATCTTTATTTATACAACAACTGAGGCCTAAATCTGATAACTTTGTACCTTTACTCCTATTTCCTTAATACCCGTATCATTCATGTTCCGTAGTAGGGCCAACCTCTACATCTGTCTAACCGTCTAACAGTAACAGAAATTAAGATTAAACAACGCATCCAACGAGTGGGATATCTTCAGACGTAACGGCCATATAGGGCTAGACCTATATTTTACAGGCCAACTGGCTCTCGGTTGGTAATGTATTCAACATCACGCCGGCAGCCATTATTTCTCAGGACTTTACCTGGTACCTTTTTTAAGGCTGGATCGACTGTGATGCCAAGGTCATTTTTGGAAACCCCCCCCCCAAACAAAAGGGTGGGGGATACAGCTTTGTTCTGAATTAAAACCACAAACTTCGGATCTGCAGGCGAGAGTCTAGCTGCTACATCACAGTGGCTCCCTCAAAATGGATGTGTATATAAATTTAATCAGTGTATCCAAATCAGCTGAGACATGAGGACTCGAAGGTTTGTCATGGACCCATACATTTGTTCCTTTTTTTTTAATAAACAGTGTCTGAATTTTAATACTTTAAAAAGAAACATGGGAGGCTGTTGCGCAAGACAGATCTGAATAATATAGAGCAGTCAAGCACGGTGCAAGAAAAGGAGCCACACCAGAAAGAATCCCAAACCCCCTCTCAACTGTCACTTCTGTCTGCTGTCCGCTCAAGGACTTTCCCGGCTCAAATCAGTCATCTGTGCACTTACAATCATTGATCATTACTAACTTTTGAATGATTTAGCCCGGCTCCTACCATAGTTGGCTAAACCGGACTGCGAGGAGACCGGGTGACGAACTCCTTGTGGTCCGGGTTTAACCCCGGGGGTAGGCAGAAAAGCCACATTTCTCCCAGATTTATGGTATTTACAATGGAATCAAGGCCGAAAGGTTGCGATATCCATAATACCGAGCCTAAGGGTTAACAACTCATGGCTTCTGGATACAAAAAAAAAAAAAAGAATGAAAAGAAGTAGTCTTTATCATTTATGATGGACGAACAACACATTTTCTTTAATAGTCATACTGAAAAACGTATAATTTCATAATATTGGAATCGCAAAAAAAAAAAAAAACCAGCCACTGCATTCTAAAGCTGAGGCTTTTTTTAAAACTGTAATATGGGTTGTTTAAATTTGTTATGTTGACCAAAAAATTGGAAACACTGAATTACAAAATACTGATTCCAGATTGGTTCAGGATATGTAAACTACATGAATAGGATGTTTTTCTAAAGTAAGGCGAGTGATGTGGTCACAAGAGCAATATTGTATGGCAGTGATAAAAATGTTGAGCTAAATGGCTTTTTGAAGTCAAGTTCACGTCAGATTTTCCTGTAAGCTTCAGTAATAGAGGCCTTGGCATAAATCACCAGAAATTTTTTTTTTTTAAAGCCCCAGGAAATGTTTTTCATTTAATACTTCTTTCCGTTTATGTTTACTGATTACTCCCTGCAAATATCTTACATATTTCAAAACAACATTTTAAAATGTAGATAAATACATTTTTAATCAAGCAACCAGAGAAGCACAAAACAAACAGAAAACACGACACTAGGCTACAACCTGGTATCAGTGAGATGACAAAAGAAGTATGAATTTTCATTAGTGACCTGTGTAAAAATGTTTTTTTTTTTTTTTTTGGGGAATTCCATTTTTTAGTTTGCATCGGCAAGAGGGTTAAGCAAAAAGTAGCAGCAACTTACTTTTTATGTGGTTGTAATCTGTATAGCCAAGCTGGGCAGACGCATGTGACGAAAAGAACAACTAGAGTGTACAGTACAGCTCCAACAAAGGTCTTTGAGCCCAGACATATAATACATACACACGTCAGTATCAGGCTGAATATGACATGAGTAGTCTGGTTCCATGTCTGTGAAATATCAGACATCATCAGTGAAACATTCTTACCAACACTTTGCTATCAATGTCAAGCAAGGAAAAAAGTCACAAATCGTTAAGTACTATGCTAGGTATAACAAGGAAATATCATCTTAGGAAAGATGACATCAGGAGGAGAGTCAGCACAGAACCAACAGTGAACTTCATAGGTAGACAATAAATCAAATGTTTTGGCCATGTAGCAAGATTGGCAGCAGACAGGGAACCAGACAGAGTAATGTTATACAGATTCAACGGCAACAGAGCCAGAGGTCGACCATACAGATCGTGGCCCGCAGAAATATCAGATAATGAAAAGTACTTTCCAGAGATCTCTTCCTGCCCGGATGACACGGGGTATTCCAGGAGTAAAGAAAAGAAGAAGGCATTCCAGGAGTAAAGAAAAGAAGAAGGCATTCCAGGAGAAAAGAAAAGGCATTCCAGGAGAAAAGAAAAGAAGAAGGCATTCCAGGAGAAAAGAAAAGAAGAAGGCATTCCAGGAGTAAAGAAAAGAAGAAGGCATTCCAGGAGAAAAGAAAAGAAGAAGGCATTCCAGGAGAAAAGAAAAGAAGAAGGCATTTCAGGAGTAAAGAAAAGAAGAAGGCATTCCAGGAGTAAAGAAAAGAAGAAGGCATTCCAGGAGAAAAGAAAAGAAGAAGGCATTCCAGGAGTAAAGAAAAGAAGAAGGCATTCCAGGAGAAAAGAAAAGAAGAAGGCATTCCAGGAGTAATGAAAAGAAAAAGGCATTCCAGGAGTAGAGAAAAGAAGAAAAGAAGTGAAACATCTTTCTTGTGACATGTTTAACCTTCTCAATCTCAAAAGGTTGTGCATACAAAATATTTTGTTTATTATTTAAAAAAAAAAAAAAAACAAACTACTACAGCATGGTTGTATGTGAGTCATGGACTCTTAATCACCAAGAAGAAAAAGGAGCTTTTGAAGTGAAATGCTACATACATTTTTTTTAAAGAATACTATGGAAGAGGAAGAAAAACATCGACATCCTCTATGATCAGAGCAATGAGGAGAATTGGCTCATAAATAGCATCCTGTCCAGAAAGCTGAAGTGTTTTGGCCAGGTTTAAAGTCATGGTGGCCCGGAGAGAAAAGTGGCGAAGGATTTCCTAAAAACGAGACAGACGCAGACCCTCGCGGAGTGGATAAAAGACACTGAAGATGCATCGGCTATAAAAGCCCAAAGCACTGGAGAAGTGGTTATAGAAAGATAGGCTTTGAGGCATGCTGTGATGAAGGCAATGTTCTGTAAAGGACCTGCTGTCTGATGATGACAGCATGGCACATAATGTAAGAAAAAGTGATTAAGGTTAGCCAGATTTCTGGAGTATTTTCTGACCAACAGCAATTATTATTTTTTTTTAATAACTTTTTTGTTTTTTAAAAACACATTTTCTTTAATAAACAAGACACATCAAGCAATAATATCTGGACATATCTCCCAACCATAATAACACAATAATGTGTATTATTCCCTTTGTTTGTGTGACAAAGGAAGCTAAGGTTGTACAGTGGCTAACACACTTGTCTGCTGGCCTAGAAGTCAAGTGTGTGGAAAAAAAATAGACTGTTAGATCAAATGGGCACCAAAGAATGTCAGTGTGAAACTGAATTTATCACCAATCCTGTGTTGACTGGTCTATCAAAATCTGGAGCTGGCCTTGTATACCCAACACACCTCAAGCCATGGAACAGATCGTCTTCAGCTTCCTCGTTTTCCCTTTTACAGCTTTAGGTGTCAAGGGAGATATGAGGTTCTGCTTCTTGCTCTTCTGGCCACCTCAACTATAAACAACACATCATGCTGTAGTAACATTTTTTTGATCTTATCTTTCCATGTTGTTCTGGGTCAACCTTGTGCTCTTTGTGCTTCTCCTCTTTTGATATTTGCCTTGTATGGTATGACTACTAATTTTTTTTTCTGGTTTGTTGTGAACCACCATGTCTGACATTGGTAGCATAAAGTGAAATGGATATGCTTTGTATGAGATGTTTCATTGTGTTGATCCAGACTGTCTTATGCTGTAAAAAAAAAGGGGGGGGGGGGCATCTGTACCAATAATAATAATGGAATAGGTACCACTACTTGATGTGAAAATAGGGGGCCGTGTTAGCGCAGTCGATAAGAAGCTTGCTTTCAAATCCAGTTGCGACTCGCTGCAGCCCACGGTTGGTGTTCGAAACTGGACGGCTCCCAGAGTTCACCCAGCCTCTAGGAAAAGGACACCAGAGTGATACTCTGCGGTAAATGGAGGAGCGTCGCTGTAGCTACAGAGTTACGTGCGAACGGAGACACAGGCGGACAATTCTTACCAGCTGTCAGTACTGGTAGCAGAGCACTTGTGGTTTATAACCGTGTGCAATGATGCTGGTTCACATCTCCCGACTTTACCTTTACCTTAAATGTGAAAATAATTCAGCAGCAACTGTGTACACGTGTTCGGAAATGTTTAAACATAGCAAAAGTGAGTAAAATACAGACTTTTAATCAATGTAACTGGCACCATTAGTAAGGGAGGCTTTGTTTGCTGCTGAGGAAGGGACAGAGCACATGTGGAAATATCCCGAGTGCAGTGATGTCCACTGTTGATTCATTTATTTATCCATTCAAACGGAGTACCTTTAAATTTCTTCTGAATAATGGCCACAGGGCAAACAGCTCAAAGGAAGTGGTGACTGTGGTGAAAGCGTGCCAGGGAGTGTGTAATCTGGAAGCCAAACACACAGAGGCAAACACAGCTGCATTCAGAGATAAAGCTCCTGGCACACTGGAGAGGAATGAAAAACTGATTGTAAAACAATAATAACATTGAGAGGCTGATAATCCTTAAAAAAAAAAAAAAAAAAAAAAAGAAATTTTATGTATCTAATTTATTAATTCTGAGGTACCTCTCATCGTTATACGCTATTACCACTCTTCCAATGTAGGTGGCAGGGAGGTCTTTGAGCCTGAGGATTTAAGGCCGCATGGCTACCGTTGTCACCACAGACTGCAGGTTAAGATTTTATTTTTGTTTCCAACAGAAAAAATCCACAGCCTTACCTAAGACCTGAAATTGGGTCTCCCGTATGACAGCCCAGTATTCTTTGCTGTTTGACCAACCACTTCTCAGTCATTATTATTACCCAGCCTAAAATGAGTACCAGGTAAAATCCTGGGAAATCAAGGTGGCCGGGGTAACAGTGACCAGATCACCCATCGAGTGCCAATTCTTCTTCTTCATGTTCCCCTGCTGTGAGCTCCAGCAGAAGGTTGTGGTTATTTGTTCACCTCTGGATTTTGACTGCCTTGTTCCAGATCTGAGTGTTTCATGCACATCCGTTTAACAGATCTGGCTTACTTGTATGCAGACTGCTGGTGCCTTGCATTGCCTCTTAGGCAGATGCACTCCGACTTTGAAGGAAGCTCCCAATTAGTCAACTCGTATTCCCATGTGGGTTCCGGGGCCCTATTTTAGGGAAAACAAAAATAGACCCATTGCCTACCCAAAAGCATGTTGAAAGAGTCGACTAATCGGGAGATTCCTTTGAAGTCGGAGTGCATCTGCCTGAGAGGCAAGGAACCAGCCGACTGCATACAAATTAATCAGATCTGTAAAACGGATGCACAAGCAACACTCAGATTCTGGAACAGAACTGCAGTCCTAAAGTGGATGAACAGCCAGAACTTTTCGCCAGAGTTTACATCTGGTGAACATGAAGAAGAAGAAGTCAACCCATACAACATGCTTTTGGGTAGGCTCCCCCCCCCCTCCAGCCCCCCAAATTGGCCCCGGAACCCATATGGGGACGAGTGGCAATTGATCTAGAAACATGGATCTAGCATCATATGTCCAGTATGCCACTAGTGTAAAAAGCCTCGTTTACTTTCTTTACTTTTGTATTTAATTATCATTACCCCATTGCTTCCCATGTGGGTCCTGGGACCCCAGCGTGGGGGAAAGCAAGAACAGACTGCCTCCCCAACACTAAGGGGAAGAAGAAGAAGAAGAATAACATGGCAATGCAACATTTCCTTTGTAGTGAAAGAGTTCAAGCCAGAAACATTTTTAATCAACACTGATCGAGCTGCCTGTCCAGTATGGACTGAGAACCAGGGAGCAGCACATCTTCAAGGTAGAACTTGATCACTTCTGAACGCCTCTGTGTTTATAAGCTATCCATTTCTGATCTAATCTAAGCGTCTTCTTCTTCTCAGCGTTCACCGGCTGTACACTCTGGCAGAAATTTATGGTTGTTCTTCCACTTGCAACAGATCTTATTGAATGAAATTATCATTCAGAAGATAAATATTTTCTTATAGCCCATTTTTTTATCTTCAAAATAATAATTGATTCATTAACACGTGTTGCAAATTAATTAAACTGTAGTTCAATTTGTGTATAAATCTACTTGATAACAATTTTTACCACCGACCGGCCACGTCAGCCTCACAAAAATGGGAATTCCTGTTTGAGCTGTACAGCCTTATATCTGGAGCTGGCCGTGTTTTCCTAGAACAAAAGTCCCGGTTATAACACAAACCTATCTACTGTTCCTGTCTTATAAATATAAAAAGACCAGTCAGTTTTGATCAATAAGTTACCTTTCCTCGCTGGACTGGTAGTTATAAAACAGGAGGTTGGCCAACAGCATGACTGTGGTCATGGCATAGATGGTGTCTGTACTGATGGTCTCTGTCAGAGACACCAGCAATGGAGATAAGGCAGCACTGAATCCTTGGAACAGCAAACAGGTTTTCAGATGTCTCAAAACTGAAACAGACCAAATGATCTTCAAATGTCCAGCAACTACAAACAAACCAAATAATTATTAAATGTTCAGCAACTGTAACAGAGCAAATAATTTTCAGATGTCTAACAAACTGCAAAAGACCAAACAATCTTTACATGTTTAAAATGAAAGTGACCAACATTGTGGTAAAAAACCAGTCCCAATATTGGACACAATTTTTTGCTGATTTTAAAGCTCCACTCCAGCTGTTGCCGGGGGCCCTAATATAACTCAACCTATGAGTTGAACAGGATTTCTGGGACCTGTCCTTGGGTGATCTTCATCCAAATGGTGAAACTTTGTGTGACCGAGTGTTTATCGCTCGGTGTGATGTCCTGGTGGGGTTACAGGTTAATCAATCAAGCAAGTGACCAAATAATCTTCAGATGTCTAATACCTGTTACAAACTAATTAATCTTGAGATATCTAACAAATGCAAGTAACCATATCATCTTCAGATGTCTAACAACTGCTACAAACCAATTAACCTTAGGATGTCTAACAAATGCAACAGATCAAATAATCTTTAAATGTCTAGCTAGCACAACAAACTAATCTTCAAATATCTAACAATCATCTGTTGTATTACCAGTCACTGTGTTTATTACTTTTTCAGTGCTATTGTGGTCATCTCTGTTGTGTTTAGTACTTTTACAGTGCTGTTGTGGTCATCTCTGTTGGGTTTAGTACTTTCTCAGTGCCGTTGTGTTCTGTACTTTTTCAGTGCTGTTGTGTTCAGTACTTTCTCAGTGTCATTGTGATCATCTCTGTTGTGTTCTGTACTTTCTCAGTGAGGTTGTGGTCATCTCTGTTGTGTTCTGTACTTTCTCAGTGAGGTTGTGGTCATCTCTGTTGTGTTCATTATTTACACATTCATTTCTGCTGTGTTCATTACTAATATGGTCATTTTTGCTGTGTTCATTACTAATATGGTCATTTTTGCTGTGTTCATTACTAATATGGTCATTTTTGCTGTGTTCATTACTAATATGGTCATTTTTGCTGTGTTCATTACTAATATGGTCATTTTTGCTGTGTTCATTACTAATATGGTCATTTCTGCTGTGTTCATTACTAATATGGTCATTTCTGCTGTGTTCATTACTTATGTGGTCCTCTTTGTTGTGTCCATTTCTTATGTGGTCAGGCAGTCAACAGCAGAAAGCACAGTCAGTCAACAGCAGAAAGCACAGGCAGTCAACAGTAGAAAGCACAGGCAGTCAACAGTAGAAAGCACAGGCAGTCAACAGTAGAAAGCACAGGCAGTCAACAGTAGAAAGCACAGGCAGTCAACAGTAGAAAGCACAGGCAGTCAACAGTAGAAAGCACAGGCAGTCAACAGTAGAAAGCACAGGCTGTCAACAGTAGAAAGCACAGACAGCCAACAGCAAGTAGCACAGACAGTCAACAGCAAAAAGCACAGACAGACAACAGCAAGTAGCCCAGATAGGCTGCTGGAAGATACACAGACAGGCTGTAATATGTGGTTTAAAAAAACAACAGTTAAATGTGCAGACACCAGCATGTACACAGACACAAAGTTAAACAGACAGACAGTAAGCAGTATAGGCAGACAAGTTATTTTCCTGCACAATTAACAATATACATACATAATTCAATTGTAACCTCTGAACCCTGGAACTTCAGCATCATCATGTTGCTTGTGTAGCCGCATATCGTCAGTAGTGAGGCAAGTACCCAGAATGCTTGAGGGGAGACTGAGTGGTCTTCCATGCAGAAGAACATTGCGATGAACAGTGCAATGCTGGGTATGGCCGGGAGACAGACAGAAAAGAGGTAAATAGAGCAAAGACAGGTTTTAGTGAGAATAACATCATTTTAAACAGAGCAACGTGTGTCAAGTCTTGGTGAGACAGTATAACAGTAGTACTATCTGCTTTTTGTTAACGAATGTGTCCCAAACCTATCAAAAATGATACTGCTGCTTTGGGTGGAGAAGCGCTGTGGGGAGGATACTAGCTTTATCCTAGAAGAAATGCAACCTGAAAAGCTAATGTTAAGGCAGGACAGACCAGGGACTTAGCCTTGGCTAGAGGCTGGTCTAGGAGGGAAGATCAAACAGGTGGACAGAGCACTGCTCTTCAAGCAGTGACACCGTGAGCTATGTGTGTTTTTGGTTGGCACAGGAGAGGAGCAACTATGGGGTGACCCGTTTGCTATGAAGCTGAAACTAGGATTACCAGATTACTGCTCTTCTGATCTGGAAGCCTCTGCAACCTGCTTTGTTCCAAATATACTGGTGTTACCATTCCAGTGGAGTAAACAAGGCAGGCCCAAAGGGGGATCATGATGCATGGGCAATAGATTGATTCTACAATACTGCTCAGGCTTTGTGCTGTGGAGATAAGGAACTTCATTCCTGGCCTCAACTGGTTTTCCTGGCCTCAACTGGTCAAGGAAACAAATCAAGAGGCAGCAGCTGTGGGTTATAAGTCCCTGTCACTTGACATCGACCATGTTGCCTTGAGGGTAAAAATCAGGAAGGGAATAGGAATAACGAAAAATATGATTGCGGACAGATTAAAAGCTGAGCGTCGGAGAAGAACACAAGCAATGGCAACAACATTTCCTTCCATCCCATGATCAAATTGTGGAAGACTTTTATTAATGCGTCGGGGGAGGGGGGGGTCTTGTTGTCTTGTTAATCAAACTCGCCATCGCCATGGGCTGTGATTCTCATGCGTCCCTACAGCACAAGATAAACCTATTGTCTGGAAAGATAGAAAGTGCCAGCAACAATGGGCTTAAAAACAACACGCACAAAAAACACTGATTACAGCAACGGCAAGTCTGACAAGAATAAACATTGTGAAAAACATAGCAATGATGGGTTTAACAAGAATAAACATTGTGAAAAAACACAAAGCAATGGTGGTATAACAAGAATAAACACTGTGATAAACAAAGCAATGGTGGGTGTAATAAGAATAAACATTGTGAAAAAAACACAAAGCAATGGTGGGTTTAACAAGAAAAAAACATTGTGAAAAACAGACCAGTGGTGGGTTTAACAAGAATAAAAATTGTCATAAACAGACCAATGGTGGGTTTAACAAAAACAAACTGATAAAAAGACCAATGTTGGGTTTAACAAAAAGAAACAGTGTAATAAACAAAGTAATAATGGGTTTAACAGGATCTTTACAGAATGCCACTCTCATCATGGCACACCATCATCGCCGAGGTCAGCCGTTGTCTCATTTTCTGAATACAGTGCAAGGATCATAAGGAAACCCTACTAAGAAGGAAATATAACAAGTCAAAACACAAACAAAATATTACAGTAAAAGTAACAAACATTACCTGGTGAACTGCTGAGTGATGCATGTCGACTCCACAACAAGAGTCTGGTAATCATAAGCTCGAACAAATACTGAGGAAATCAACATTCAATCAACAAGTCAAATATTTTCATAAATATAACACAGATGCAGAAAAGCTTTCAACATATGTGTTTCTTTAACTCCACATGTATTAAACAGTAGCTGCTTGAAGTAGTGTGTGTTTGGGTCTGAAGAGGTTTCAAAAATAACTCAACGTGACACCACAAACTGAAGTAACAATTGGGATAGAATGGGGTAAAGTTACAAATGGATGGGTCACAAGGCATTCAGAACAACTCCAGTAAATTCACAGTGACTGGCTGGTACTGAAATTATTAAACACTAGGAAGGCTAACCTGGTAAATAAATGCCTGCAGAAGTTGGATGTGTATGCCAAAGGGTGCAAATATCACAGCTATGCTATAAATGGGAACAACGTAATTACATCTTCGGATGAATGCAGAAGACAAGGAAGAAAGTGTTTGAGACCCAAATATCTTCTTCTTCATCTTGGTGTTTGGTTTCACATGCTCAGAGCAGAAAGTCAGGTGAGCTACCTCTATGAATACTCATACTTGGAAATAATTGCAGTGTATTCTGTATACTTAACTCGACTATATGATGCATAAGCTCGGACATTAACACAAGTACAGTAAAACCTTGTAAACATGAACTAGCTTAAGGACATTCATTTAATTTAACATGAACACAATTTTGGTTCCTGCAGGGTTGCATTATTGTTATTACTCCCTGGTTAGCACATATTTTTTAACACAAATTCAATTTGCAGTCCCTTGTAATTTATGTTGAACCTTTGTAGACGATGTGGCAGATTTTTGAGCCCAACAAAAAAATAGCCAAAAAGACAGCAGGGCCGATCATTCCGCTCTATATAATTTGAGATTGTCTCACAGGTTTTTGTAGTAGCCATTCAGCTTGCTTCTTGCATACATGGGCTGTTTAATGACCGCTTTTGAGAGAGTTTGATGTGTTCTGTAATTTTACATCGAACTCTGCCTAACAATGGCAAAAAAGACTGTTGCGTCATAGCACCAGAAACATAGCAGGAGGCAGGAAAAGGAATAGAACCATGTGCCAGAAGTGTCTAAAGGATCTTCATGGGCCTTTCTTTCCAAAACAAAAGTGTTAGGACTTATTCAGGCTTAATCCATCAAACTATTCACCAATATTTTTCAGGTTAGTCATGTTTTTCCCCAAGTTTGACAAAAACCCAGCTTGCATACATTATGCAAATAAGAATAGGTAATTTGAATAAATACTGAAATTTCACTTTGATTCATAAATATTATGTTAGCTGATTCAGGCTTCATCCATAAAAAATTCACCCAATTTTTCAGGTTTGTCATGTTTGATTCCAAGTTTTAAAAAAATGCCTACATAAATTTATAAATCATAAAAGTTAATTTGAATAAATATTGATATTTCAGTCTGATTCATTCATATTCTGTTAGAACTAAGAGAATTCTTCCCCGAAGGCTTCGCCTTTTTAGCACTCAAACTGCAACAAAAGCTCCAACTCCAAAGGAGTTGACCGTGAAGCAATAGTAATAGTATCATTCTCTTAAAACCAAAAAAAAAAAAAAAACCAGGCAGTTGCTGAAACTAGGAGAAGAGATAGTGTTGGGGATCCACTGCAGCAAACTTTCTGACTGTAGAGAAAGCACCTGACCTGACCAATTGATTAGACTGGGATCGACCGTTTAGTTCATTTATTTACACATTTACATTATCGCTCTACTGGCAAATTTGGCCGGTAAGCTGGACTGCTTCGGCCGGCTTAGCGGGGCTTAGTGGGAGTTATGTCCCTTGGCCAAACTTAAAACAAGTCACGGAAAAAGTCACGAATCAAAACGGCATACTTACCTATCATCATCCGGGTGCGTGTAGGGTTGCGTAGGGTGTCTATCATCGTCCTACGGCTGCGTGTAGGGCTGCTTATTGCGTGTAGGGTTGGTTGTTTGCGTAAGATAGATGATAGGTAGGGTTAGGGGTTAGGGTTAGCGTTTAGGGGTTAGGGTTTAGGGTTTAGGGTTTAGGGTTAGGGGTTAGGGTTAGGGTTAGGTGTAGCGTTAGATGTGACAATTGTGACGCCGTAGTTCCCTACAATCGCGCATAGTCGCATGCACGCGCAAACAGTCGACGGAAGGTGGATGCTACTGACACGGACAATGCGCCACCGATTGGGGCACCAGCCGCCGCCGCGCGCTATTGCCGTCATATTTGGCACACTTCCAGTGGCGCCACTCCCACTAGCATCAGATTGTCGACCAGTATTTCCACCTCCTACATGAATATTTTCACATCATCTAACCCTAACCCTACCCCTACCCCATAACCCTACCCCTAACCCTACCCCTAACCCACACCCCTAACCCTACCGATAACCCAAACCTTACGCAACCCTACACACAACCCTATGATGATGATGATAGACACCCTACGCATCCCTACACGCAACCGTATGATGATGATAAAAGACACCCTACGCAGCCCTACGCGCAACGGTATGATGATAGGTAACCCTAGACGCAACCCTACACGCACCCGGATGATGATAGGTAAGTATGTCATTTGATTCGTGACTTTTTCCGCAACTTGTTTTGAGTTTGGCCAAGGGACGCGAAGGGACATAACTCCCACTAAGCCCCGCTAAGCCGGCCGAAGCAGTCCAGCTTACCGGCCAAATTTGCCAGTAGAGCCACATTATCAATAACTCTTTCAGTTCCAAGGAACGTATCATACGTTAAGATTTCTTTCTACCCAGAAGCCCAGTCAACGCAAGATGCGTCGATTTTACGTTTCTCATGACTATCTATTAGGATTCTAATGCTAAATAAATCGCCTGGAACTCAAAGAGTTAATTATTATTATTTATTTTTTAAATGATTAAACTTAAACGAATCCTTTACTAACGATTCTTTCTGAGTTCATTCAAAAATGATGCATCCACATAATTATCTGCATAGTCTTGTTTTTCATAGAGAATTTTTCGCCACTGCGTAGTAGTTGCCATAACATTTCTCCGTTAGTAACGGCCAGGATGCATACAACTCATAAGGTGATTATTGTGGAACTTGGACCGACATTATTTCACTTGGTTACCGCCATTGTTGACACTCTTCTGTGTTAGAAAGTTTTAAAGCAACCAGAATTTGGTACAGAAAGAAAAACAACTCCTAACCAAATTTGAACATTTGCGTTTTCTTTGATATATATTTACATGTGATATATTTTGAATCGGAACTGACTGACTTTATAAACGATTACAGTTCGACATGGCAAATGAGCTTAAATGTCAAGAAAATGTTATACACTACAGTTTTGGCGTTCGGGTAAATAATATCCCCCCATGTTTTATGGTCCATAACACGAATGCTAGGACGCTAACAGTAACGTTCGAATCCGATTTACAGTTCTGCTGTTACATAACGGTTCAACAGTCCTAATGTGGGATGCATTTTTTCGTTATTTTAAAGACTCTCTTCGGCTATTGATAGGGGTCCTTATATACCCCAATGTATGGGTAGAACGTGGTTTCTGTGACCTGTTCCTGGGCGATCCTCATCTGAATGGTGGTAGCACTTTGTATCAGCGAAAAGATATAAAACCGAACGAAAAGTATATTAGCAAGCTTCACAATATAACAAATACAAACAAAACGGGAACGTTGCGGCTATGGAGCCTTCATCAGCACATACAAATCAATCAACACTATACAAATACACAACGGGTGTTTGTCGCACGGTGTGAGTCCTGATGGGGTTGACCGTCAATGATTCAATTAACCAACAATTCTGCTGACAGCCTATGCCCTGCGACTGTATTCACAACTTTCTGTCACACATGCTGTCAATCATTTTTATACAGATGTTCTTCTATGCCAAATTCGGGCCAGATTTAGACTTAATAAGGCCTTAAGTTATATAATGCCCAGAGGCATTGCTATTTTAAATTACACCAACCTTAAAATATATGTATAAGAGGTATATGGTGATGAAGAGTGCTAAGAAAGGACTTTTTTTTTAACAATAAGAAAATGGAAGTAATGGTTAAATTGAAAAAAAAAAAGGAGAAGAAGAAGATAATACTACATTGCGATGTCTCAATTGAAGGAAAAAAGCTTGACCAAGTCAATAAATTCAATTATCTGGGAACAATAAAATCATCAGGTGGAAAATGTGTGACAGAGGTTAAAAGCAGAATAGGTCAATCGAAGGCGGCATTTCAGAAAATGAAAAAATATCCTATGCAATAAGTCGCTCTCATTTAATGTCAGAAAGGGAGGGCTAAAATGTTACATAGAACCTGTTCTGCAGTATAGCAGTGAATCTTGAAATGCCCGTGAACAAATTAAGAAGAATTTGACAGCAACAGAGATATGGTTTCTTAGAAGAAAACCTTGGACGACCAGAGTAACTAACAACGATTTTTTGAAAGAAGATAATAAAAGTAGATCTCTATATACAACAATAAGAAGGAAATAAACACTGTTCTTTAGCCACTTAATGAGAAGAGAGGCATTGGAAAACATCGTGACAACTGGAAAGATCAGTGGAAAAAGGGGTAGAAGCAGACCAAGAGAGACGATACTAGATAGGCTGAAACGATGGCACGGAGGGATATCATCAAGAGAACTGTTCCAGGCTACCAGGGATCGTGATCTGTGGAGATGCATGAGCGCCTCAGCCAAATGGTAAGGCACAAGATGATGATGATAAGAGGTATAACGAAATTCCCACATATTCGTTTTTAAAGATTTTCAATTGAAATATATCGATGATGGAAATACATTGTCGTTTAATTTTAAGTAAAGGAAATAATCAAGAATGTGTCTGGAAAATTACATAAATTATATTCTATAACCCTTTTAAAAGCTCTATTAAAAAAATGGTGTTTGTGACACACACACACACACACACACACACACACACACACACACACACACCCCCTCGAATGGAATTTGTTGAGAGCCCTACATATTGTGAAGCTCTAAGCCGCAGCTAATGTTATACCTAAACCCAGGACTGTCTTCTCTTCTTCTGCCTTTCTATCCCCCTATGGAGCATAGGCCCTCAACCAACTCACGCCAAGTCGTTCTATCCTTCGCGATTGCACGGAGCTCTCCCCATGTCCTCCCAATCTTTCTAACCTCATTCTCCAGCTCTCTTCTCCGTGTATTTTGTGGCCTTCCATTATTCCTATGCCCCTGTGGGTTCCAATGCAAAGACATTCTAGTTATGCTGTCCTCCTGTTTTCTCAGTGTGTGCCCTATCCAACGCCAGCGTCTTTTCCTCACCTCTTGGTCCACTGGAGCCTGTTTAGTTCTCTCCCAAAGTTCTACATTAGTTATTCTATCATACAATTTTATTCCCTCTATTCTGCGCAGGCACCAGTTAATGAATGTCTGTAATTTATTAGTATTTGCCTTGGTTGTTCTCCATGTTTCCGCCCCATACAATAGTGCTGATTTGACATTAGAATTAAAAATTTTTAGTTTAGTATTTCTTTTAATTTCTTTTGACCTCCACAAATTCCCTAGTGCTATGAAAGCCCCTCTTGCCTTTTGTATTCTTATTTTAATATCTCTATCAGTTCCTCCATCTTTATCTACATTGCTGCCTAAATAGGTGTAAGACTCCACGTCTTGGAGTGGGGTGCCATTAAGAGAAACCACATTACTATTTGCCTGATTTATTCTCATTATCTTTGTCTTTCCTTTATGGATTTTCAGACCAAGCTGCCGTGATCTCGCATCAAGTACATTTAATTTATCTTGCATCTGATTCCGTGAATAGGATAGAAGAGCAATATCGTCAGCGAAGTCCAGATCATCAAGCTGTTTTGTAGGGGTCCACTGAATTCCATTCTTGGTGTTAGCAGTTACTGTTTTCATAGTCCAGTCTATAGCCAGTAAAAATAAGAGAGGCGACAAAAGACATCCCTGTCGCACACCTGTTTTTATTTCAAACCCAGGACTGTGCTAGATGATAAACTGTACAACACAGTGATTCCCAAACTGTGCGCAGCGGCGTCCAGGGGAATCGCGACCTCTTCACAGGGGCGACGAGAAATATTCGAAGATAAACTATTTTTTTTTTAGATTTCTTACATACGAATAGTCATACCTTTACTTGGGTTACTTTTATTTTAATAGAAAAAAGGCGCCGCGACTAAGAAAAGTTTGGGAAACACTGGTATAACAGCTTCTATGTGGGTACCAGGGCCCCATTGTGGAGAAAACAAGAATAGACCCACTGCCTCCCCAACAAGCATGTCGTAGGAGTCGACTAACTGGGGATGCGGGGGGGGGGGGTGTTTCTTTCAAAGTGGGAGTGCATCTGCTTGAGAGGTAAGCAACCATCAGTCTGCACACAGATAAGTCAGATCTGTAAGACGCAACATACTGTTTATGGAACAGGTCCAAAGTCCAGGGGGAACAGCCAGAACTTTCGGCCTGAGTTTTCATCTGGTGAACGTGAAAAGGAACAAGAACAAGAAGATATAATTAGACAGTCTACATTCATTATCTTTCTATGATGTAGTTTTAATTCTTTTATAAATCTACATCTCTGCAGCTTCCATGCGATTTTTGCTAATTGGCTGATTGTCCATGCGTACATCGAAATGGCGTGATTGCTCTTTAAAACCATTTCTCATTCCGCTTTAAAATAAATTGCTTGGAACACGTAATTTTTATTATGAAATGCAGTTTTTTTTTTTTTTTTAAGCAGTTCTATATTTATCTGCTCTAATTCATCTTTCTTCTGGCCATTACCGTTGCTCCGATGAACTTGAACGAACCTTTTTCCTCTACACTTGCCTAATTTATTTTGATAATGAATTCCGATTCGGGGTGGGGGGGGGGGGCAGAGAGAGAGAAAGAGAGAGAGAGAGAGAGAGAGAGAGAGAGAGAGAGAGAGAGAGAGAGAGAAAGAGAGAGAGAGAGAGAGAGATAGAGAGAGAGAGAGAAAGAGATAGAGAGAGAGTAAAAGAATATACTTTTACATTGTTCCGGTAATTGTTCCCGAAGATTTGGCATGTGTATTTGAAAATGAAATGAGTTTATTTTTGCTTTATATATCAACATGTTATCATTATCTAAACGATCTGGCACGAAGAAAAACGCCCACTAGTGTCTAGTCAGACAATAAGACATTTTTCCGGTACAAATTCTTAGCTGGGTCAAACAGCCCAGATCATTCTTTTAAAACGCAAATTTTTGACTTTTTTCTTCTTAAAGTCCATGTCTATCCACAACCTTCTGTCTCGTATACTTTAAATCAACTCTGTTACAAATGATCCTCCATGCCATGATGTCAAACTGTCCAGCATCTTTTCTCTCAATCTCCTTCTGCCTCTCCTTACCTCCAGTTTTCCTACTGACACGATGTATTCAAGTTTTCTTCTCATCACATGACCACAGAATGTAGATTGTCTCTTTCTAATGGGAAAATCAGTTCTCTTCGTGTGTGTTCCGGGGCACCGTTGTGGGAACAAACAAGAATAGACCAACTGCCTCCCCAGCAAGCATGTCGTAAGAGCTGACTAATGTGGGGCTTCCTTTGAAGTCGAAGTGCATCTGCCCGAGAGGCAAGGAACCAACAATCCGCATAAGTTAAATCAGATCTGTTTAAACCGATATGCACGCAAAACTCAGGTTTTGGAACAAGGCTAAAGTCTCAAAGTGGACCCCCCCCCCCCCCCCCCCCCCCCCCCCCCCCCCCCCCCCCCAAAAAAAAAACCCATAACTTTCTGCTGGAGTTTACAGTCGGTGAACTCAAAGAAAAATAAGTTCACTTCGTGAGTCAGTTTCTTTCAAGTCATCTTCATTACTCTTTTTATCTGTCCAAGAATACAGGAAGCTTTGTACCATAATATACATCAACCTAGGGCCGGGCTTTTCAACAACTGGAGGCTTGCGGGCCGAATCTAGTTCGCAAAGCCCTAACAAATGGCTCGTGTATAATCGCCAATAGAACTGCATTAATGATCTTTCTATGCAGGGACAATTCC